TAATGCAGTTCAGTCGAAGAGCGGATCTTTGATGAATGGTACACAGTAAAGTTTGAGTTGTTAATGGCAGAAGGTTCGTTCCTGGCTTTCTTAATTATTTCTCTGGAGGTTGTCCAAATCTACCATTAAGCCGGAGGCAACAAGACGTAGTCGTAATAGTCGCTGGACGAGAAGCTTCCAGGGTGCGGTCACAGTGTCAGATCCGATGAAGCGAGCGCCACACGTGGCTTAGGATCTACCATCGTATCGATAAGACGAATAGGTACGCAGTACATCTAGATAAGATACCTATCTACCTTACCTTAATGCTAAGGTGCACTGCAGTACGTAATCTTAGGTAAGCTCAAATGCCAGCTGTGCCATGACCGCAAGCTGATCATATCAGGAATGATCAGAACATGCCTGGCAAATGGGCCCTGCCTTAATACCTGGGTGAGGTGCCGTGCGAAGGAGCGACTGCGCAATTTAGGGGGGCGTAGCAGGGAGTCAGTGGCCCCGCCCCCTAATCATGGAGCCGGCCATTAAGGTGAACGCGACAGGAGGATGGCCTCCAGGTTCAACATTTCAGTGGACTCGCGTTGTCCCCGCTGGCGCACCTATGCACCCAAGATTAGCAAACTGCCAGCTCGAGACAGGGATGTCTGGATTTTGATGACCTCTCAGAAAAGAGAAAATCTGCAATTGCCATCGAACCCCCTTCGAGACCAACCTAGCCTAACCGTACCTTGCATCTCCTCACCCCCCCTTGGACGACGTCTCCCTACATATACGACTTCTGCACTTTTCTCCGGATCTAGTGCCACCATCCCATCTCGTCCGCTCCTTTCTTCGGCCATCCGCACCTTTTTTCTGTTTCCTCGAGTCGCCCCGTGCTGCTCCCTTTCGTAATCGGCCCTCGGTTCAGCCCAGTCCACTCCTTTGTCCCATCTCGACGCCGCTGTACCTCGAATGCGTTACTCTGTGTTCCCCTAAGCACCAACGACAAGCGACCAATGCGAAGAACATCTGTGTCGCTGCCGACGAAGCAACCCGCGCGAGATCCACACGAAAAACCTGGTCGATTTGCACCCGCTCAACGGAATACTGGCCTATTTACGGCGTTGAGAGATATGTCTCAAGCACAGAAGACGAGGTGGATGAGGACGGGCGCTATCGCCTTCTTCGTCGTCTTCCTCTTCTGGTATCTGTCTCCTAGAGGCGTCAACGTCTACAATGGCGGAGGTAAGCAATGGCCTAGTGAAGCCCATCAGATCGACTTGAGGCTAATACATCTACAGCAGTATCGAAAGGTGGCGCTGGTGGCCAGGTCCCTGCCGATGCCTCGTACGGCACCGACAAGTGCACTCAGTCCAGCTCCAAGTCCAAGCCCATCGTCCAGTACGTCCTGATGATCGACGCCGGGAGCACTGGATCCAGAATCCACGTCTACAAGTTCAACAACTGCGGGGCCACTCCCGAGCTGGAGCACGAGGAGTTCAAGATGACGGAGAAGTCAGTTGGTGGTCTCAGCAAGTATAAGGACGACCCCGAGGCCGCTGCCGCTTCTCTCGACGCTCTGATGGACGTTGCCATGACCAACGTTCCCGACAAGCTCAAGTCCTGCAGTCCTGTCGCGGTGAAAGCGACCGCTGGACTACGCATGGTCGGAGCTGAGAACGCCGAGAAGATCCTTGCTGCTGTGCGCAACCGTCTCGAGACCAAGTACCCCTTTCCCGTCGTTGCCAAGGAGGACAACGGAGTTGCCATCATGGACGGCGCCGACGAGGGTGTCTACGCCTGGATCACTACCAACTACCTCCTCGGCAAGATTGGCGGCCCTGACAAGAGCCCCACCGCTGCCGTCTTCGATCTCGGCGGTGGCTCGACCCAGATTGTCTTTGAGCCCACTTTCAAGGGAGCTGCGGACGGAGGCATGCCGGAGAAGCTCGCCGAGGGCGACCACAAATACGACCTTGCCTTTGGTGGACAGAAGTTCGAGCTCTACCAGCACTCCCATCTGGGATATGGCTTGATGAGCGCCCGCAAGGCCGTGCACAAGCAGCTGATTGAGGAGATCTTTGAGAGCAAGAAGTCTGACGACAGCTGGGTCAAGCAGCCCATCATCCACCCTTGCATTGCCCCCGGCATGGTTAGAGAGGTTGAAGTTGAGCTCGATGAGAAGCACCCCCTCGGCAAGACTGTCACCTTCAACATGACCGGCCCCTCCCAGGCCGCTCCCGCTCAGTGCCGCAACCTCGCCGAGAAGATTCTGAAGAAGGAAGAGAGCTGCAAGCTTGCGCCCTGCTCTTTCAACGGTGTCCACCAGCCATCATTGGCCAAGACCTTTGGCCGCGAGGACGTCTACATCTTCTCCTACTTCTACGACCGTACTAAGCCGCTCGGCATGCCCGACTCCTTTACCCTGCGTGAGATGCACGACCTTGCCAACTCTGTTTGCGGTGGTGAGAAGTCTTGGGACCTCTTTGCCAGCATTCCCGGTGCCATGAAGGAGTTGCAGGACCGCCCTGAGCACTGCCTTGACCTCAACTTCATGATGGCTCTTCTTCACACCGGCTACGAGATGCCTATTGATCGTGAGGTCAAGATTGCCAAGAAGATCAAGGGTAACGAATTGGGCTGGTGCCTTGGTGCTAGGTAAGAATTCATTCATCGCGAAGAACGTTTACAGAAGCTAACATGTCACAGCTTGCCTCTTCTTTCCCCCGGATCCGGCTGGAAGTGCAGAGTCAACCAGGTCAACTAAATAGGTGACGCGTTTGGCGACAAGATTGCGCAAGCCTCCCCTGGTGTTGGCTGGCTTGTAGTATTATAGATTTTTAATTCCACGACAGAAATGGGCATGTTCGATTACGAATAAGTGTATTTGAGACCAACGAACGTTACAAGGTAGATGCAGGAAATGCATCAGTACACGCATCGACGGCGGGCGTTCCATGTCTCGAATGGTTTCCCATGGGTATCAAGGATAAAGACTCGTCAAGACGTAGCCATTGATTAGAATCAACCACACTCGCTGGACAAACAGCCAGATTTGCCTTCAAAGCGGTGCTGCCACCATGTTGATCACGTCTTCGATTACGTCCTCGGCGCCCACGCCTTCAAGAATGGATTCAATGGCTTCCTGCTGGCTGCCCCACTGCATGCTCCTTTCCTGTTTTGCGTGCACGATCCGGATCCGATGCAGGTAGACTTTCCTAATAGCCAAGTGAACAAGAGCCGGCGTCACAAAGTCTAGGCTGTGCAATGGGGCGAGGCATCTCAGTAGCTGGTCGAGATGCTTCGTTGCAATCGGCTCGATGCCGCCGGCAACAGCGCGGTGCATCCTCAAATACGTGACAATGTTCATTTGATAGCGTAGCACGTCCACGTTGACCTGGACTTCCCGGCTCAGCTTAGCCAAAGATGCAATGTCCTACTTAATGTTAGCCCTCCAAAAGACCGGACGTCACCATGAAGCTCACATACACCTTCACTTAAAAGGGGATCCTCGCTGACCGCTATCGTCTCCTCGTGGATGCTCTTCTTCACCACGCTTTCGGTGCTGGCAGTCTCGGCATCGTCGGCTTTGTCGTATGCTTCATCTAGGTTAGCAAAACCATCGTCTGGGTCGTGCCAGTGCGCGATGAAGAAGTAATCGTTCAGGTGCAGCGTGACGTGAGCCTGGCCTCCGCTCTCGGCGGCCAACGCAGCCACAAAAAGAAACTGCTTGGGAGCGGTCTGGACGGAGGTGCGTGTGAAAATGCGGCGGGTGCGAAGGAGCTCGAGGACCTGAATCTGCACGGCCTTGGGTGCGCGGTCTAGGTTCCGGGCGAGGATGACGTTGGCGATGGAAGAACCGGCTGCGCCGCCGGGGCCGGTTGGGCTGTAGGCGTTGACGGCGGTCAACGGCGAGATTCCGGCGCGGGAGTAGAAGTAGGAGTCGTTGCGCGTGCGAAGGGGCGAGCCTGATCTGGTTGCTGTGGGCGACTGCGCCATGAGGATGGAGGATGCAAAGTCTTCCAAAGTGGTCTGCGGAGAGCAGTCCACGATGGCGCACGTCAGACCAAAGGTCTTGGTCGCGATCTGCAGGCAGGTTAGCGATGTGGGCAACGGGACGGCAGCAACAGGTGGACCTACAAGCTGGAGCTCCTCGATGAGCTCATTGAGGGCGACGGGCGGAGTGCTGACGATACAGTGTTCTCGGTTGACCAGGCACAAGAAGGCGGCGAGCTCAAGGTCGCTCAGGCCGTGGACCTTGGTCAGGAGATCTTCTTCATCCGCCATGAGGATCGGGTGAGATGTGTGTCCAAGGTCCCATCAGCGCATATTGGGCTACAGACGTAGTCTCGTATGTTGTTCGTCCAAAGCATACATGTGATGTGCGACTAGGTAAGGTAAAGACAGAGGCGGGAGAGGTCTTGGTCCTCGCAGGAGTTTTGAGCATAAGGTCACAAGGTAGTGAGGTCGTGCTCTTGCTGAGCTCAGTTCCACTCGCCTGGACCGTCGTTGCGTTGAGAAGGAGTGTGGCTGGAGGGAGCGCCTTGAGTTTAGCACCTCATCTAGGAAGGTACAGTGCATTGAGCAGTTCATTCTTACAGCGCTCACAGCGCCAGAGTCGTTACGTCAGCCACAATGACACCAGCGGCAATACACCTGACGATACTGCGTAGGTCGACACTCAGAGCCCTTCCTGGTTAGACCCAGCACTGGAGGCAGCTCTTTGATAGGCTGAAACCTGGAAATGTGACGGGAGCTCTCAGTACCGCCTGGTTCCCTGTCAACCTCCACCATGACTTTCCGTCCATCGATCTACTGCGTATCGACCTGCACTTGACACCAACCAACCACCCCTGACCGCAAGACACCGGTCCGTTTTCGATCACCTTGACGTCCGAACCGATAAGAAACCCAACCCGCGACCGAAACTTTCGTAACACTACGTAGAGCGACCGACTGTTGACGCCGACACTTTTGAGCATCCCAAACTCTACATACTCCTCCAACGAGGCAATCCATTCAAAATGTCATCGAGAAAGAAGGTCCTTCTCAAGGTGGGCTCTCCCCTCCCAGCGCTGCAGCATACAGTGGCGCGGCATAATTGACGATGTTGTTTTCGTGCAGGTCATTATCCTTGGCGATAGCGGTGTCGGAAAGACGAGTCTGATGAACCAATATGTGAGTTTCCGTGGATCAAGCAACCACCGGAGGAGACTGGTGGCGCTGACATGAAGGTTTCACCCAGGTCAACAAGAAATTCAGTGCAAGCTACAAGGCTACAATCGGCGCCGACTTCCTGACGCGCGAGGTTCTCGTCGACGACCGACAGGTGACGATGCAGGTGGGATTAGACCAACACAACGACTGATCCACAACCCGGACATGTGCTGACGAATGGACGACAGCTTTGGGATACGGCAGGACAGGAGCGCTTCCAGTCTCTGGGCGTTGCCTTCTACCGTGGTGCCGACTGCTGCGTGCTCGTATACGATGTCAACAACTCCAAGAGTTTCGATGCCCTGGACAGCTGGAGGGACGAGTTCTTGATTCAGGCTTCGCCGCGGGACCCGGACAACTTCCCATTCGTTAGTGGCTGACTAGCGCTGGATTGTTCGAATCGAGGCTGACGTGCGACCAGGTCGTTCTCGGAAACAAGATTGATGTCGAGGAGAGCAAGAGAGTGGTGAGTGTGCCATAGGGGTTGTTCTCGGTACAGTTGGCTAACCGTATTGTAGATCTCGACCAAACGCGCCATGACCTTTTGCCAGTCCAAGGGCGGTATTCCCTACTTCGAGACCAGTGCAAAGGAGGCCATCAACGTCGAGCAGGCATTCGAAGGTTGGTGCAGCATCATGAGCGCCCGTAACGACGAGTACTGACACTATCAACTAGTTATCGCACGGAACGCTCTGGCCCAGGAGGAGTCCGAGGAGTTCAGCGGTGATTACCAGGACGTCATCAACATCCCCATCGAAAACCCCCGGGACGGATGTTCTTGCTAAGTTGCTATTGGGTAAGCAGTCGGTTGTTGTTGAGCGAGTTGAGGACTAGGGCGGCACACAGTATTAGGACCCTGTCCGACTCGCATTATGTTTAGTCCAAGGGCCTTTCCACATATCCATTTTTGGCCTTGGCTTGATGTTGCATATCCTGCACCGGTGCGAAAGGTGTTTAGAGGTTATTATTGAATTTGATCAAGGGTTCATTCGTCTGGTTCCAATAACCATTCGCTTCCTGTGTCGTGAATGACTTATCACGCTTGCGACCATGCTTGAGTAATCGTTTCTGGGAAAGAGTATCCGCAACCGGTTAATGGATGCCTCTTTACAACATTGCATTTCAACTGACAGGCGCGGGGCACCGGAGGACAGCCATTTACTCCATTATGTTTTCATCACCAGTCCAAGCTGACGGATCATTCTTGCCGTCCGTCATCAGACTCCGCTTAGAAGAATGGATCCGAGGCTACACTAAAGCCTCAAGGCTGGAAACCGGCACTAAGTCCGGCCTGGCAACCAGTGTTCTCTGTAAGCTTCATGCACGGCGTCATGCTTGGCTTTGTCCAGCGGCGGCAGCCTAGAGGAAGAGGAGGTTGCATGTTATGCTCTAGGTACCGTAGGATTTAGTAAGTACCTTACAGCAAAGAGACTCATCTCACTTGCTCACTTACCTTAGCTACCTGCCTTACGGAGGGAGGCTGAGACTGGAAGCCGTGGCACGCGATCGACCCACCACTATTGGTTGCCGGTACTTGGGACGAATACAGGGGGCGTTTTCGCCCGTGCCATTGAAACTCAACCTTGAAGAAACACCCTTAATTAACACATTGACACGAATCCCTTGAAAGTAAACGCTCCAGCGACGGAAAAAAAATAACGGACGACGCGTCCGCATCAGAGAAAGCTCGCAGGCTTCCTCGATTGTTCGCCTTGTTGAGGGTCTTTTTGCTGGTCTCCAGTGAATCGCTCCATAATCGTCATCGCCTTCAACCGACGGCCCGAGAAGCAGTTGGCATACGGCATATCCGTGCCGTGCTACACATGCGCCGAGTAGAGCGACGGGATATTCGGCCACCGTCCGCCCCCCTCTGAACGCGGTTGCTCTGTGACGACTTTCCGAGAGTTCGCCCTGCTCTTCGCCCGTCCCTGCGGTCAAATGCCTACAGCGTCGACAGCGACCTTGAATTACCTCAAGGCGGACAGCCCTCCCTGAATCCGCAACACCTCCTCGATATCTACCTATCTCCCTCTCTCTACCTACGATACGGCGCGCGACGACAGACTGCGAAATCACCTAAAACGAAAATGGCACCGAGCGAGCCTATGCTGCCCGCCGCGTTGGCACCACCAGATCATCATGACCGTCCTCCAAGGAGGTCATTCTCGAGCACCGACAGGCTGAGCGCCTCGGTTGCGTCTACCAATAGGTCGAGATCGACAGTGCGATCGTCTGGGTGGCAGGCGAAGATGGGACTGGGCGGCGTTGCGAGGCGAACGCTAGGCATTTCGCTGCTGCTTGTGACGGTGCTGTTGTGGACGATATCCAACTTTTTGGCATCCGTGAGTTTTTGACAGTGTTGCTTTCGTTGGTGTGGACTGGTGCAAGCTGACAGCGAGGGATCACAGTACATTTTTTCAGATCATTCCTACGACAAGCCCTTTTTTGTGGTGTATATGAATACGTCGGTGTTTGCGGTGTCTCTGATACCCATGTTGGTGCGGTTCCTGATGCAGCACGGCATCGAGGGTCTACGACGCGAGGCCATGGTGGTCTGGAACGAGCAGAGGTACGGCAAGGACCTCAAGACGGCCGAGGACGAGGAAGATACGGTGGCCGGGGAGCGTCTGCTGGTCGACGACGAGCCGAGCCTGGAGATGGAAGGGTTCGAGACAACGACGAGGGTGGAGCGGCTCACGTTCCGGGAGACTGCTGTCATCAGTCTCGAGTTCTGCATGCTGTGGTTCTTTGCAAACTATTTTGCGTCGGCGTGCCTCGAGTACACGAGCGTCGGGAGCGTGACGATCCTCAACTCGACGAGCAGCGTGTGGACGCTCGTCTTCTGCGCCGTGATGGGGGTCGAGGGGTTCACGGCGCGCAAGTTGATTGGCGTGCTGGCGTCGCTGACGGGTATCGTGCTGATATCGACGGTGGACCTGTCCGGGTCGAGCGACGAGAACCGCGGGTCGTTCCCTCACAAGACGACGGGGCAGATTGCCATTGGGGACCTGATGGCGTTTGTGAGCGCCATCATCTACGGACTCTACGTGACCGTGATGAAGAGGCGGGTAGGTAATGAAGATCGGGTGAATATGCCGCTCTTCTTTGGTCTGGTTGGGCTCTTTAACTTGGTGTTCCTCTGGCCCGTCTTCTTCATCTTGCATTTCACGGGGATGGAGCCAGTAAGTCACCGCATGCCCCCAAAATCTTCATGGGCTTTTGAGTGTCTAATCAAGGTTGTCACAGTTCTCATTCCCTCCTACGGCCAAAATCTGGGCTATTGTCATTGGCAACTCGCTGTCGTCCTTCATCAGCGACATGTCGTGGGCATACGCCATGCTGCTCACGACGCCGCTAGTTGTGACGGTCGGTTTGTCCCTCACGATCCCGCTGTCGCTCATTGGCGAGATGATCCAGTACTCGCAGTACTCCAGCTGGGTGTACTGGGTCGGCGCGGCTGTGGTGCTCATCTCGTTTCTATTCATCAATAACGAGAGCCACGAAGACGAGTCGAGCGACAAGAGCCCCGAGGCAGGATCCCGGGGCATCTCGCAACTATAAAAAAGATGTTCCAATAGACACGAAGTTGTAATGCGAGAGCAGAGAGAGGCGCGGGGAATTAGACGTGTTGCATGGGCCACGGCGTTAAGACACAGGGTACGGGTTCTTCCATTGTTGGATTCCACCTGGAACGCTGTTGAGTCTGAGCTTTTTGCTCAGTCTCTTCATTAATACGATCGACTTGCATCATATCGTGCCACTCAACGTGTGCGTGACTCATGCCTTGAAAGTCTTGAATAAAGGGATTACTTCTTGACGAAGCCCGTCTTCGCGGACCAAGGCGGATGATTCGGAAGAGCTGTCAAGCAAAAATAGGTGGTCCCGGGTGGAAACACTGATGCAGCTGCGGTGGAGACATGAAATCGCAATAGGTGAACCGCGGGGTTATTCTCTGGTGACTGGTAGGTCGGTAGGTGAAAGGTTGAGCGCGCCGAGGTCAAGGTGAGGTAAAACATGGTAAGGCACTGCAGCTGTGGTGTGACTTTGGAAAGACTGGGAAGGTCGGTCGAGCATGACAAGACGGGATTTTGCAGAATCCGATGGCGGATTTGAGTGAAATGCGATGCACGGGGTTTTTTTCTTTCTTGTATCTTCCTTGATTTTGAGAGGGGGGATCTGCAGACGCATGGAGACAGCCGCGCAATCGAATTCGCCGCTTAGTAGTGTAGTTAAAGTCTCCAGAATTATTTTGAGCTGTATGACACAGTGATCCTTGGTTGCTTTTCCCCCTGCTCTTTGGGTGATAGATAGAGTTGCGGGAAATTGGGAAAGTTTGCTGTGACTTTAGATTTGGCATCTTTGATATGCGCGGTATCACGGAAGGCCTGGGACTCTTGGGTTACATTGAGGTTGAGAGGTGGGCAGAAAATATCGGAAAGCAGTTCGTAAGGGATAGTCTGAGGAGCTCTCTCAGGGACTCTATACGACTGGGTCATAAACAAACATGATGCGCAAAGAGGTACAGATAGTTGGCGACAACTGGAAGGACGTAAGGCATACTCCGTGCTCTTGACAATGTGATAAGTAACCTAACTTGGAAGGTACTAGAAGCGCAGGTACAGAGAGGAGGGATCACCTGTTGGCGCCGCGGGCAGCAAGACTGAAAGGCGCTTGACATCGTGGGGACCTGCCAGAGTTGATGCCCCGCAGGAAAGCCGATCGCCGCGGCGCGCTTCCTCCTGCAGAAGGTCCAGTCACCATTCACTGGTCTAATTTATGGTACATATCCGTGATGGAGGAGGAGCCCACGGAGTACACGAGCTAAAGGGTCCAAGGGTGCATATGCAAAATATTCGTGTCTCGTTAGTCTTGCCAGCTACTTGTTCTTCTTTACCCGCCTTCCAGGTTTTCGGAGACCGAGACATGAGACATAAGACATTGGACTCATGAAGATGAGAAACGTGTAAGGCATGAATATGAAGAAACCATCTGTATCTGTAGAGCGTCCAGAAACAAGGAAATGGCAAGCCACAGTGGACTGCTTGACTGTGCAAAGATGTCGGGCATGCAGCGACGCAGGCAGCGTAGCAATGGGAAAATGTTCGATGGGAATCCAGCCCGATGGATAAAAGTGGCACCTTACGGGGCGAGACCGCAAATGATCAAAAGCCATAGGACCCAAAGACCCCTGACCCCTGGCCAAGTCCTCCACAACCCTCGCCTCCCCCCGCCGGGCCCCCTCCTCTTCGCCCTCGTTTGTTTGCTTGCTCGCTCCACGGCAGGGTACCCAAACCGCATTTCCATTTCCTTCTCTTGAGGATTTCCCATGGAGCAAAAGGGTGAAATTTGCCATGCCGTGGCGGGGAGTTCATACTGGGTCATACTGAGGTTCTACAGATGTTCCTCTGATGTGTATGCTGATATGATTCAAGGCTATGTAAGCTGGTCAGGCACACCTAAGGTACTACATGTCCACGAGACCTTGACGCGATGCGACAAAGCGCAGAGAGATCACATCAATTTTGGGCATAGTCCCCGCGAGGCAACAGATAACTCCGATCTCCATCTCAGACATCTTCTCTTTCTTTCACTTCTTTACCTGCACCTGCGCCTGTCACATCGAGACCAGACTCGAGCTAACACCCGATGCGATCTTGGACGTAGTAGCCCAGTTGACCCCCCAAGATTCCATGCTTGAGGTGCGCACTAACAGCTTTTCGAGCTTCTCTCGTCCACATCGTCTCGCCGAGACTAGCTTCTTCCAACCCCGTTTGCCGGGCCCTGCTCTCCTGTCCCCGGCTCTTTTGGATCTTAAACTTTTTTGCCTCTTCAATACCTTGCTTGATTTCCCAGCTTGCATACCAATCAAAGTGGAATCTCTCCGGACAACACTAGTCCCAAGGTCCCAAGGTCCCAACCCTTGGGGACCTACCCGAATCCTCGGCCGCAAGAAGAAACAGAAAACCCCAAGCTCCCAGGAAAGTCTCACTCCTCCATCTAAAGAGCAAAGCACATCCCATCGCATGGTGGCTCGGGGGCGCAACCACTTTTATCAGAGCCAGAGAGAGATACCGGTAAGGTATCCGTAGCTCCAGTAGGAAAGAACGCTCTGACGCTGCCGCCTTCTTCTCCATATTGTCGGTACCCTTCCGTCTTTGCCACCCGCTACTTCTCTTAGCCGTTGCTACCTACCCAAAGCGCAACTGCCACTGGTTCAGCCTCTCCCAGGGAAAGAAAAGAGAGAGACACACTCCCTACTCGATCACTGCCCTCGACCACCTACTGAGGATCGACGCTACCGCTTCCGTTTGTGGTTTTCGTCCGTTCTGTCCCCTTCCAAGGCCATTCTACTTTATCTTGCATTACGCCTTGAATTCGCCGAGGAGGCCTCGAGGAGGAGCAGCAGCAGACAATAAGTCTTCTAGGACTACTGGTTGGTTACCTACACCTCTGTCTCTGCTCCTATCTACCATACTATCGGTACACTTTGACCCTCGACTATCAACCGCATCACCTCGGAACCTGCGTTACCCCAAGCATTCATTATCCTACTATTCACCTATCTGGACGAGGGGTGCTTGGTTCCTGTACGAATACACCCTCTACGCCACGCCCCTATTTCGTATCTCCGCACGTTTCCTAGAAGCCACCAGCCGCACTTCCCTCACGGGAGGCTTGACAAACAAACGGCGCCGCCCCGACGCCCGTGACGATGACCTCGCCAGCCGCAACGCCGGCCGAAGATACGCAACGTCCCTTGGCCGAGTCCATCGCCGCCGCGACCCGATCTGTCCATGCAAAGCTTAACAAGATTATCATTGCTCGCCTGCCCTTGGCGATCCCGCCTCGCGCGGCAGATCCATCACTCTACGCTTCTGGCCTCCTTCATATCACACCCATCTACGACACCTTTGAGTCACTATGGAAGATCATCGCAGAATCACCACAACTTTCCACACCTGGCGAGGCCGGTAACGACTGTAAACTAAGCCAGCCTGAGCTTACACCGGTTTCGAACGTTGAATCAAACCTACGACACCGACCTGCTTTATGCGAGCGAACTCGCTCGATACTGACGTCGCTGTACCTACCTGGACTCATGCGTTCTGGTCGTCTGCAAGCCGATATCAGTTCCATCACTGGATGGTCCCCCGACGTTGTAAATGAGCAACTGGCAGCCATCTCTCAATCAGGACGGCTTGCCGAGTTCACAAGGCACGTTAGGCGCACCATTGAGAAGAAGCCTCACGTCCTAATGGCCTACTCGTACATATTGTTCATGGCTCTCTTTGCTGGCGGGCGTTTCATCAGAGCCACCCTCGAGTCTGCGGGTTCAGAATTTTGGGAGCAGACGCCGTCACCCATTCCACCCTTGGAGATACCCTGTCAAGAATGTACGCCATCCTTAGACACGGCTATTCATGCTACAATACCAGTCAACATGGCACGGGGTGACAACCGCGGGAAGATTGAAGTCGGCGCAAAGCACATGCGCCATTCTCTACCTCTGAGCTTCTTCCATTTTGCGACGGCACTGGACGGCGAGGACCTCAAGAAAGAGTTTAAGAAACGGTTGGCGGAATCCGAGCATCTCCTGACACCCCACGAGAGGCACGACATCGTCCAAGAGGCCGTCTGTATCTTTGACAGTATGCTACTTCTCGTTGGCCAGCTGGACAATGTGTGCGACACAGACTTGGAACATGGCCCCTCCGTCTTGGAATCATGGGCATCATTGGCACCAGGCGGTCGTCTGCGCGACAGTGTAGCCATTGCCCGAGACAGGAAGAGGGAAAAGATGGCCTCGAAGAGTTCTGAGGACAGCGAGAAATCCGATTCGTGGCTCTCCAAACATACAAGGCAGAAGACACGTGAGACTCCAGAGTCACATGCTTTGAGCGACTCGGAGAAGCAGCCCCCAGCATGCTGCCCGGCCTCCAAGTCTATGAGATTCGAGCCGAAGCTTGCGGTGCCAAACAGAAAGGATAAGACTCAGACGTTCTCGACAGACGGCGCGGCTAACGCAGCGCCATTTGCAGGGGGCGTGACGTCTAGGCAGGGGCAGCTATCACGCTCTGCCACGTCCTTGATATCTAACATCATCATCGTGGCAGGCTTGGCTGCGATTGTCAGTATATTTTTTCTAGCAAAAAAGGCGGGAGTAAAGAGCGTGTAGCAGGGGGAGAGTGAAGGAAGGTATTGCGACAGCATAGCATGACGGCATCGGCGTTTCGGAGCGTTTTCTACCCAGGATACCTACTGCATGGGATAGATATACGATACCCCCCTATTGCATTTCCAAGGTGTTTTGGCTTTTTGTTTTCCCTACGACATGGCATACCAGAAGATGATGGTCTGTGACGGACTTTCAAGACTTTCAAAGGTTAGATAGATGACTGCCAGACAGCATATTCCGAACCAAGTCTCCCTTATGGTGGCATACGTGTTTCCCAGTCCACCCAGCGTTGCTTTGTGACATGTCTCATTATGTGTAAGGGACTTCATACCCCGTGAGTGCTATGGTATCTAGAAACCCTCAATCCAGTCCAATCCCGTCCAGTGCAATGCAAAGTGATGCGATGCCATACTATGCTAATCCTCATGCCAAGCCAATCCGAACTCAATCCCCCCGTCTTTTTGCTCTTGTCCTCTCAAGTTGTAACCCGTCCAAATCAATGCTTTCAAAAAAAAAAAACTCCCAACGCGCCCCGATCCAGATGACTCCTATCCGCGCATATACAAACCGCACAAAAATGGGCCAGACGGTGAAGTCGACCTATCAAACGGAAACAACTCCTGACCTCTTGATCGTCTAGAAGGACCCCATCCAGATGCATACTTCTTTTCTCACCATCGTTTTTTCTTTTTGCTGTACTTTTTTGTTGAGTTTTCGGATCAACACTCAGAGTGCGAGTCGCAGTCCTCATCCCAGTCGTCCGCGACGTCGGCCCAACCAGCCATGTGCCGATTACCGCCGAACTCGCCTCCGGTGCGCAGCTCCCAAGCATCGCGACCATCACCACGGCCGCCGTCGTCGTTGCCCTCCTGCCAGTGGCGCACCATGTAGTCGTCCGAGATGGTCACGAGCTTACCCTCATTCGACCAGCTGAGGCCCGTCACCTCGCGGCGGTGGCCGCGGATGAGGGGCGTGCCGTTGCGAATGATGGGCACCTGAGCTCCGCCAGCATTGACAGACTTTGCGTGGGACGAGAATGTAGTTGCGCTTGACGAGGTGGACATGGTTTCCGTTGCTGGAAGATGGCTCTGCGTGTCCCAGTACTCCCTCATGGCGCGCTCATCGGTGGAGAAAACGACCGCGCACTTATCCGTGCTACCGACGGCGAGAAGCTCGTTGCCGGAAGCTGATACAGGGCGGAGGGCACCGCGCACGTAGAAGCTCTTAACGTGGAAAAGGTCGTGCTTGAAGCCGTACAAGGGGGCCAAACCCTGCATAGCAGAGCCGGCCCTTTGGCGCGGAGGCCGAAGGGAGAGTTCGGGGGCATGGCCGAGCATGAGGTGCGAGGTCGAGTAAGCGTAGACCGTACTGTCCTTGCACACCGCGTACAGGCGGGCCGCGTCACTGCTCAAGGCGAGAGAAGTAAGACCGTAGGGCCGCCAGCGATGGGTTGCCGGTTCGGCGGTCACGGCTAGGGGAACTGCCTCCTTATTGCGCGGGGTTATGTACCGCGTATCCCACAGCTTGATACAGGCATTTGCCTCCGATGCGGAGAGAAGCAGGTGTTCACGACCTTCTGGCATATACTGCAGCGCCGTGACAGACGCCGGTGATGTGACACCATGAATCGTACGATCATGAGCATTGTCAAGGGTGTTGGTCGTTCGGGCCCACAGGGGGTTACGGTCTCTGTCGCGGTGCACGATACCTTCCGGGCCGCGGGTGGAAAAGGCAGCGGCCGGTGCCATGGAACACCGCAGATCCCAGATCTGGATCTTTCCGTCGCGGTCCGACGTGGCTACAACGTTTCCATTGGCTTGGCCAGGTTGAAATTCGACACGGCGCATGGATTGAAAGTGACCGCCATTCAATTCTACAGCAACCGTCTGCGACATGACGTCAAAGATTTTGCCAGAGCGGTCACCACATGCACTCGCCAAACGAAGATCGTCGTTTGAAAAAGCGAGGTCCATGATGGCATTCTCATGGGCCTGGATGACAATGTCAACCTTGGTACGGGGTGCCGCTCCCAAGGGGGTAGTGGTGGTGTCGAAGAAGCGGATGAATCCCTCTTCGTCACCAATTGCCGTCATTGGGGCATCTGCGAGGCTTAGTACAAGTTTAAGGACTAGAATACAGGGACACTCACTGTGACAACTTGCTAGACTAAAGGGAATGGTATTCGCTTGTGTCAGATGCGCGTTGCACATGTGGACGTCGGTGCTTCGACTCCAGAAAGATGCCGTACTTGCCCTCGAGTCTGTCGATATTAGTTTCAAGCCATCGTCATCTGCAAAAGTGAACAACTCACCAAATGCAGGATACTCGAGATGCTCACGCCCGGGGCGAGGTGTGCTACCTTGCTCGCGGAGCAGCAGTTGAGCACCAAAGCCCCGGTTGCGAAGCTTAAACACGGGTTGCGGCCGGTACTCCGGAACAATCTGGGATATGTTAGTCTAGTCAGAGCAAATCGTGGGGAATCAAACATACAGGATCATCCTTTGGTGGCAGAGGAAGCTTGGGAAGAGTTTTAATAGCCTTTCCTCTGCTAGAAGCGGGAATCCCTGCCCGGTTGCACTTGAAGTAGTCAATCAGCGTAGACCTAGGCCGAAGACCCTCATACCCCGAGGTCGCAAAGTTGCTGGCAGTCAAGGAGCTAAGCCTCCGCGCGAACTCGTCTGGTGTAACTTGAGGTCCTGTCGGGTACGTTCTGCCCAGAGCTGCCGTTCGACTAGTCGAGGGCGAGAGCATCTCAGGCGAACCCATGGGGTGATCCTCGGACCGAGCGTTCTCGTCTTGTTGCAACGATGATCTCGCAATAGGACTTCGGCCAAGAGGGTAATCTTCCTCCAAATCCTCCGGTTGAGTTCTTGAACGCTTCGTGTCTGAGCTGCGGCTTGACTGTGGCAACTTCATGGGTATAGCGTTGACAACGCTCCGTTTCCGCTTCCTGGGACCATCTTCGCTGCCAAAAGGGGAAAGCACACTGCTGCTGTGATTCGAAGTGGGTGATATCGGTTCATTGAAGTGAGGGCTGGATCGTGGAGGTGTCGGTTGAACGTTGAGTGCTGGACTGCGTAGCTCGCCAAGGGCTGGTCTTTCCCGAGATATCTGTGAGGGCATTCCGCGAGGGGTGAAGAAACGACGAAACTTCCGGGGCGTCAGGATGGACTTCTTCTTTTCCTTTCGAGACATCCGTGACGGCGGGGAGGAAGGGAGAGTGGGAGACGATGCAGGAACGAGGCCATCGCTCGGTGGCGGACTGGCCATGCCGCCGTGGTAGACCATGACGCTGGAGGAGCAGGAGGTAGTGGTGATGACGATGACGATTCGGCTCTAGACTCAATGGCTACCTAATAGTATAAAAGAAACAGACAACAGACAGAAACGTCTTTGAGAACAGAGAAAGAGAGCGTGTGGTCCGGCAGGCGGGGTGGTGATGGCCGAGTTTGAACAGTCAGGGTTGGAACAAGGTATCTAATTGTGGTAGGTAAAGCTCTTGACGTCTTACTTGCCCGATCGAGACTCCCTCTTGACCCTAGCGCAGCTCTCTACGCGACAACGTCGCGGTGCGCGTGGTGAACGCGGAGACCCACCTGAGAATGTTTAATGGAATTGGCATTCCATCTGATGAACCGAGCGCGGGACACCCCACATTGACATGCGCTAATTGTATCTCCACGTGATTCTTATCGCTCCCCTGCAGCTCCGCTAAAAAAATTCTGAGAGAAGGGACGTTGCGAAAGTCAAGACGGCGGGGCGGGTCCGAAATTCGATAATTCTGCAGAGAAGGACGCCCTTTGGTTGCAGAAGAGCTTCCCAACTCTCATAAGAATTCCCCGTGCATCTCGACTTGGCCTCGCCCTCCAAACAAGATGGCGATCCAGAAGAAGCACGGAAAAGGACGTTTGGATAAGTGGTACAAGCTTGCCAAGGAGAAGGGATACCGCGCCAGAGCAGCGTTCAAGCTGATCCAGCTGAACAAGAAGTATGGCTTCTTGGAGAAGAGCAAGGTCGTCGTCGATCTTTGCGCTGCGCCCGGTGTAAGCTACTCCTCGTGGATGATGACCCAAACGCAAAGTTTTCCTTGCTAACATTTCTCAGTCATGGTGTCAAGTTGCAGCGGAAACGTGCCCCGTTGGCGCCTTGATTGTCGGTGTCGATCTTTCGCCCATCAAGCCAATTCCCAAGGTCATCACCTTCCAAAGCGATATTACGACCGAGAAATGTCGAGCCACGATCCGGTCGCATCTCAAGACATGGAAGGCAGACTGTGTTCTCCACGATGGTGCGCCCAACGTCGGTACTGCGTGGAACCAGGATTCGTTCAACCAGGCAGAGCTGGTGCTGCAGTCGATGAAGCTTGCGACGGAATTTTTGGCAGAGGGCGGTACCTTCGTCACCAAGGTCTTCCGATCCAAGGATTATAACCCCCTGCTGTGGGTCTTCAACCAGCTCTTCACAAAGGTCGAGGCGACCAAGCCCCCTTCCTCAAGAAATGTATCTGCCGAAATCTTCGTCGTCTGCAAGGGCTTCAAGGCTCCGAAGCGCATCGATCCCCGATTCCTCGACCCCCGTGCCGTCTTCGCCGAGCTCAAGGACGCGACCCCCAACAACGAGGCCAAGGTGTACAACCCGGAGCAGAAGAAGCGCAAGCGTGAGGGTTACGAGGAGGGTGACTACACACAGCACAAGGTCGTATCGGCGAGCGAGTTCATCCAAACGGCCGACCCCATTGCAATTCTCGGTCAAACCAACCAGCTGTCTTTTGACCAGCCGGCCAACGGAGACGTGGCGCTGGCCGCGCTCGACAAGCTCCCTGAAACGACAGACGAGATCCGCCGGAGTTGCGCAGACTTGAAGGTCCTCGGAAGGAAAGAGTTCAAGCAACTGTTGAAATGGCGTCTCAAGGTGAGAGAGATCTTCGGTTTTCCGACCAAGAAGACGACACAGGAGAAGAAGTCCCTGCAAGATCAGGTGGGCGAGGAGGTCGCAGAGGTCGAGTCAATGGACGAGGAGCTGCGGATCCAACAGGAGCTGGAGGCGTTGAAGAACAAGGACGACTCGAAGAAGAAGAAGGAGAGGAGGAAGGAGAACGAGAAGAAGCAAAAGGACATTGTGCGCATGCAGATGAACATGACGGCCCCAATGGACATTGGCATGGAGCAGGCCGGACCCCTCGGCCCGGACGCCATGTTCGCATTGAAGACAGCCGACAAGGCCGGCGGCATCAACAAGATCTCCCGCGGCAAGATGGCGCTTCTCAAGGAGAGTGAGAAGAAGTCTAAGGAGGCCGAAGCCGGTATCGTGTACTCTGACTCCGAGAGCGATCCAGAGGAAGACCGCCTCGAGCGCGAGCTGGACGGCATGTATGACAACTTCAAGGAGCGCAAGGCCGCGGCCGATGCCAAGTGGCGCGCCAAGCGAGCTCGCGAGGAGCACGAGGACGGCGAATGGGAGGGTGTTTCGGGCGGTGAACAGAGCGACAGCGATGAGGACATGGAAATGGACTCTGACAGCTCAGACGACGACGACCAAGACAATAGCGAGAGCGGAAAGCCCCTGGTGACGGACCTGGACAGCACAGCCGAGAACGGCAACTTGTCGAAGCGCGCATCGGCTTTCTTCGGGCAAGATATCTTCAAGGATATCGACATGGGAGATGTTGACGACGAGGACTGGGGCGTCGACGATAAGCCTGCTGAAGAGGAGCCGAAACCGAAGAAGGCCAAGACGGAAAAAGAGGGCAAAAAGAAGGCAAAGGAAGAAAAGGCCAAGGCAGCTGAGGAGAAGCAGAAGGCAAAGGACGAGAAGAAGAAGAAGGCCAAGGAGGCCAAGCAAAAGGCTGCCGACGGCTTCGGCTCAGATTCCGAGAGCGAAGACGATGCCGGCTTCGAGGTCGTCAAGAACCAAGAGGAAGACTGGGAGAACCAGGAGAAGAGACGGCCGGACGGCAGACTCGGTAAGTCAAGCTTCACTACATTAACCCTGGACCTATTGTCCAACCCCTTATGAAGAGAAGAAAACTTGTACTGACAAGACACCAGACATCGACATCATCACAGCCGAGGCCATGACGCTCGCCCACCAGCTCGCGACGGGCGAAAAGACCAAACAGGACCTCATGGACGACGGCTTCAACAAGTGGGCCCTCAAGGACCGCGACGGCCTCCCCGACTGGTTCATCGACGACGAGACGAAGCACGACAAGCAGCAGAAGCCCATCACCAAGGCCGCGGCGGCCGCCATCCGCGAGAAGCTGCGCGCCTACAACGCGCGGCCCATCAAAAAGGTGCGCGAGGCCAAGGCGCGCAAGAAGTTCAAGACGGCGCAGCGCCTCGAGAAGCTCAAGAAGAAGTCGGACTCGCTCGCCAACGAGGAGGGCATGACGGAGAAGGAAAAGGCCGAGAGCATCGCCAAGCTCATGGCCAAGGCCGGCAAGGTCAAGAGGAGACCCAAGCCTACTCTGATTATCGCCAGGGGTGAGTCTCTCTTCTCCTTTTTCTCCTCCATCAAAAGAATCGTACATGTTTCAACATTTGCTAACAACTGGTATAGGTGCCAACCGCGGTATCCAGGGTCGTCCCAAGGGCGTCAAGGGCCGTTACACGATTGTGGACTCGAGAATGAAGAAGGACCTGAGGGCGCAAAAGAGGCTAGCCAAGAAGAAGAAATAGACGTCACCGTCGGTGCATTGCCGACCACATCATCCCCATACCGAGATGGCGAGGTGGGTGACGATGTTGCGATCCTTTTTGTTAAAATAAAGCATGGCTGGAAAATCAGGCGCATTAATGTGTTAATGGGGGGGAAAAAAAGGCTCACGGTGGATCTGCGTATGTGTGTAAAATGTCTTGGCATGAATGTGCATCATCGTGTGTCTTTTTTGTGCATTATCATATCGTTGAGAAGAAGGAGAAGAAAAAGTCGTTACAACGAGAAAAAACTTCAAGATCACCATGGCTAAATGACGTTGCCCCCGACCACCATTGTACGCGCGCCTCTACCCATGGAGGAAGGGAATCATGAGAATATGCCGCCGCTGGAAAAAAAAAAAAAAAGCATAACAAAAGTCTGGTACCGAGCACCACATGCTGCATATCTTACAGCAGCTTGAATGAGATCTTGACAAGTGAGGCGGAAGGATGCGGACGCCGCCCTCTTCTTTCTCCCAGAAACCGTTTGCTCTCTCGCCTCTTTCGACATCGTACAGCTCTTCCTGCGCCTGCATGTGTATTCGTACCGCCGTTTGTAGAGCCGAAGGAGGAAGAAAAAACGCCGAATGCTGTCCTGCGAAATGCAAAATGCCTCCTCCTCTTTGCCGTCGCCGCCGCTGCTGCCGCCGTTCCCAGCGTAAAAGTGTGACGTGACTTCGGTCTGGATTCTAGTCGTCCTCCTGCTTGATCCTCACTTCCTGTTCCTGGTCCTGGTCCGGTGCCCGTGGTCCCAACATCCAATCCTGCATGGCGAGCCACTCGCTCCATTGGGTTTCCGCACTCTGAATTTCCTTTTCGGTGACATTTGATAAGGGCCGAAGGAAGGGGACTTGCTGCTCGCCGTCCATGTCGTAGTGTGACTTCACCTTGAGCCAGGTGTCGCTCTTGGCGGCGAACATGTAGTTGCGGCGCTCAGCTTCGTGCATGGGGCCGATGCCGCCGACCCAGTCGTCACCGAAAAAGCCATGTAACACGGCTGGATAATCGAAACCGGTCGCCACCAAGCGTCGAATGTAAGGCGTCAGTGTTGCATGAGTAGAGGAAGGCAACTGGGCGTTGATTGGCATCTTGCCGGCGGCTCGAGCCGTGGACGGGGTCGAGGGCCCGGGCCCGGCGGGGGAGTTGGGACCGGTATGTTTGGAGGACAGTACCGGGTTGTGGGCCTTTTGAAACGGGAGCTGAATGTTGACAAAGGCTGCCACAGCCTGAATGGGCCCGCTGTACTGGGCATGATCCAAGAAATAGCGGAGGCATGACTGGAACTTTGGATACCATTCAAAGATGTCGAATTGGGACTCTTGGAACGGCTGAAAAGGGGGCCCGTTGAGCGGAGGAGCACTCTGGTGACCTGTGAAGGCGTGGCCTACCTGTGCATACTCAAAACCCGAGGCTGCGGATGAGCCGCTCGAGTGGTGGTATGCCATGAGTCCTTGACAGAAGGGAGAAAGGCTGCTGCGAGCGCAGGCGCCTTATCCGGAATTGGCCCTCGTCGTCGTTGACGACGGCGAATTGGGTGCTTGTGGCCGCGTTCTGGCGGTACCAGACGCCGGTAAAACCAGAGAGCGGCAGGCG